TTTTTCTACAACTTCTGTTGTTGTTTTTGTTTGGTGATTTATTTTTGTGTTTTCACCTCCTGTCGGGGGGGTGTCTCACCTCGGTTACTGATCTGATCGAATACCTTTTTATGTGATTTTGTTTCTTTAGCACTGCACTTATGTGACTGATCACTTTGCATGTTTTATTGTTGTGTTAGTGTGTATCAAGCTTTAATGCACCACAGTGCAGGTTTTCATATTCTGATTTACCTTAGTGTATGGAGCCTGTAAGCTCTCTGTGTTCTGCTGCGACTGTGGCCGCCGAGGTGACTGGGTTGTCATTTGTCTTGCTCAGGCAGCGTGTGTTAATTGTTTAGACACCACTCTAACAATTTAACAATAATAATGACTAGTTTAATAAGGATGAATTATCGTCATTACACAGAGAGGACCTGCAAATCACAGCAACTCTGGGCACCGACACAGACAGAGGGAGGTCAGCAGAAAGCTGGAGCTCATTTCTGACTTCTCACCTGCATCTGTCTGATGCCACTTTTGATTGTGTGACCATGAAGAGATTAGGGATTAAAGCTATGTTAATGCTGAGAACAATATGACCTCAGGGTAAGTGCTGCTAGTTACAAACAAAGGCCAAATGGAACAATTAAACATCACAAAGTTAAAATTAATATAAAGTTAAATGACCATAAATCTGTATTTGAATGCTTTTAAAGCAGGAGCATGATTATAAGGGCTGGCTTCACATTTCAGATGAACACACCCTAAGTCTGACTTTATGCTAGCCATCCTGTTGCGAAGATAAACCACAGAAACTTGGAAATCAGCAGCCCCACTAATGTCAAACGCCCTCTATTCCTTATTAATATCATACACTACTTTTGCAGGTAAATAGTCTGACAGGACTAAGGCATTTGTTACTTTCTGACAGATGCTTAACAATGGCTGGAAATTCTCCAGCTCTTTCCTCCAACAAACAACAAGTAGGCTTGCGTGCCTGCCTGTTTATGGGATGCCATCCAGCCAAAGAAGCATTGTTTTATTGTTGCTTTACACAATGTGAGTTGTTAAGCCTGATAATGAACTTACATTGTACCAAGTGCATCTGGTCTTGGTGTACTTACTGGGATGGTGTTTAATGGGAAGGAATGTGTCTGACAGTCTCAGCAGACTTTCACTGAGGAGCTTGAATGTGTCAGCAGAAGAGCTGGTTTAATCTTCTCATAAAGGTCTGTTATTTAAAGTTGGATGCGTGTAATACACTGTGAGGAACAGTTGCTTCCAGCGTAATATTTCAAGTTATCATATCCACAAAATATCACAATTTGTTGCATGTTTGTTTTGGCAGTTACTCTGTTTTCATTTGTCTCATTTACATCTTCACATTCGCCTGCCTGCTTCTGTTTGTTATGTTTTGCACTGAGCCAAAAGCACTTTGGGCCCACTGATATCTAAAACTCATGAGGATCAACTTTCCCCATACATTTCCTATTTTGAGTAAAACTGATGCGATCTCAGCTGTGTTCGTACTCCCACGACATCTCAAAATACTTTGGTGAGAGCAGACAGAAGCAACTTATTCGATCCCATCACCTTCTCTACTATAATTCCAAGACATGTCAGATCTGATATGACTATATATGTAAACAGGAGCCTATACAGCCAAGACCCTTTAGGTAAGAAGGATGAGTGATTCTATTTTTGTCATTGCTCAGGTATGTGTCTAGGTTGTCGGAACAGGTTTGTGCTCCGGTGCTTGGCAGCTCGGCTCGTTCGGCTCAGCTGCTGGAGATTAATGAGCTGTCAGCGGCGAGGGGGGCATTAAAAGACAGTCTTCCCCTGGTCAGGAAAGATAATTACTGGTGATTACTGAACTAGTGCCGTTAGATTAATAACTGTCTCTATGTCTCTCTGCTCGTCTGCCTTCCTGGCTGCCTGCTGACTTTCTTCTACCTACCTGTCAGCCTGTATGCATGTCAGAGATGTTAGTGAACAGGCCTTATGAAAGTCATTTATGATTATGCATAGAAAAATATCATTAACTATTTTACAGAAATGTGCCACACTTATAGAAAAATATCATTGATAACTATTTTACAGAAATGTGCCACACTGCCAGAGGATCTCACTGATAGCACTGTAACATGTGGCTTTGATAGGTAGTGGTTGGATCACTCTTATTTAGAAGAGATGGCAAGATGGAGACGGAGAACATTAGGAGCCACGCACCTTCAGCTTCACCTCAACTGTGTAAACACTGTAAATATATATTTTGTAAATCAGAAGCATGGATTAGAATGACAGGTGTAGCTGAGGCTCAGAGTCATTCAGGCTAAGTTACAGACAAAGAGCTAGACAAATAGTAGTAGGTTCAAGCCCAGGTCACGCTTAATGCATCTGTGTGGCTGCAAGGGTCTGTATGATGTAAACGTCATTGTACGTGCCTGTCTGTGAACTTGCAGACGGCACAAGCATGCTCATGGTTCATCCACTAGAATAGCAAAATGGAATGTCAGTGAACTTGCAGACGGCACAAGCACGCCCACGGTTCATCCACTAGAATAGCAAAATGGATGCTTGGTTCAAAGAGAAGCTGTGCATGGAGATTCATTGCTATCCACATATTTTTAAAACTTTTTTAAGGGAATACAAAGACCCACAAATGGCATTAAACTCCTAGAGAGATGAAAGTGTCTGCAGGTAGAAATGAAAAGCATCTGCAAGACAGATGAGACAGACAATGGCAACAGACAGATAACTGACTGTATTTCCCATCACTGATCCTATTCTGGCTGAGCAGGTGCATGCACCATTATCTAAAACTTTTACTTGTTATTCAGCTAAAAACAAACAACTTCTTCTTGCTGTCATGAGGTAGCCATCTTGTTTTAAAGTACACATGAGAAACTCAACTGCATTCACACACTACTGATGGTAGTAGGTATAGAAACGTGTGCATGCACATCCATACTGTAGTTGTCTGGGTTTGTACTGAAGTATGAACAAAGCTTCAGGCCTATGCAGCTTGACATAGGCCTAGACTACCTTTAGAGAGACTGAGAGAAATAGATTCAGGCTTAGGCTGAGACGAGGAGCCAGGTTTAGGCTCAGGCTTAGACATGATGGTGGGATCGAGATCACAGAGAGAGTGAAGTCCAGGATTAGACGCAGACAGAGAAACAGGCAGAGGTTGCCACTCGACATCAGGCTCAGGCAGAGAAGGCAGAGGGAGGGGCTGTGTCATCAGGCGAACAAATGTTCTGACTGGCAGCAAGCAACAAGTAGACAGGTACAAGGTAAACAGCTGCACAGGTGCATGACTGGACCACTGCACCAGTTTGGCAGCAGTTATGTCTCTGATTGTTTATTATGTGAGCTGAAAAACAGTGACACAAACATAAAAATAGCTGTAGTGAAATGAAGCTTTGCATTACAAGTGGGTACTGACATACAGAGCGCTGCAATTCTGCACTGAGTTTGCACAAAAGCTACAGAGAATCTGTCTGCTGAAACTCCATCGTGTTCAAACCCTCTGTGGCTGAGACTTTGTTTCCCAATCGAAGGCTTTTCCAGAGAAAAACAAGCAGAGCTCCCACACTGTTCTGCAGCATTGGTGTCATATATTATCGGATGCAGTCTAAGAGCTGGATCCATACTGTAAACTACACAACACTGGATGCACACAAATTGGTAGCTTAATAGAAGTGTCATCTCTTTTCAAAACTGGCCCAAGTTAGAAGTAAAAAAAAAAATCTTTTGTCGCTCTTCTGAAGTGTTCGGGCCCTTGTTGAACACAGGTTAATGAAATAAGGACTGGTTTCACTTGGATGACTTCCCTAATGTCCTAGTTTGAAGTGCAGCTTTTTAAAAGATTCATTTTTCTCAGTCCTATTGTGTCTTTCCTCTCATGTTTTGTGTTCTGCTCAGAAACACAAATAGAAATACAAAAGGAGAAGAGTGAAGGTGCATATGTGGGAGCTGTGGTATACACATTTTCTGCACAATTGGTGTCAGACCTGCACGTCAAAATGTGAAGAGATAAAAACAGTGTTTGAAAGCATGAGTTCAAAATCTTGTTGTGTTTTTCTTGAACACTGAGGTAAACATCTTTTTCTTGTCTGCAGCCATCTTTTGCAAATGTTTCTTCTTTGTCAGTCATTGCTTCTGGTCCAGTAACTTCACCGTCACCTCTGCTACATTAGGAAGCTGGCTTTGGGTGATTTTAAAGAGCTGCTACTCTCCATATATTGGTCCATATGAATCAAAGCACTGACAGCCTCAAAGTAACGAGCTCTCTTCATGTGGCTTCTTCAGAGCCAGCCCTTACTGCACACACAGATGCAACTACTTCTAAGATGCTTTTCATGTGGCACCAACTTCCCCGGATTGATTTACTTCATCTTCCAAATAGACTATTATCAATTTGGATGTTCTTTAAAAACGTCTGCTCTCTGGAGAGCATGGCTGTTGGATGGATCGCACTTTCACATGTGCTCATATATGGTTGAAACTGGCTCAGTGCATATGTGAGTTCATTTTGGGTCCATGTTTAACAATAGTTCTTATTACATTTATTCCATTTGTATGAATGGGTAGATAGTTGAAATGTAAATTTAACTCCTGGAACATTATGTAGCAAAGTCACATGACGTGCTGTAAGCTCGACTGTGAAAAGTGAAAGTGAAAAGTGGATAGTTGTGAAAGAAACATGGTGAAATCACTGTCGCTGGCTTCAGACCATTGTGTCAGATGTTCACTACAAGGTGACTACAAGCCATACCCTCTCCATCATTGTCACACACACTGCCCAATGATTAACGCTGAGATTACTCTGTAACTCTTACCACATTTATGCAAATCAATAATTCCTGATCACAGACATGGTGCACATCGACAAATGCTTCTTATGAAGAGCAAACTCAAAACATTTGAGTGTTTTTTAAATAAATCAAACTCCAACAAGACATTTGGATAACTATTTGTTAAATTGGATTTTATTTGTTAACCGTAAGCTACAGGAGACGAAGATTTGACAGATTTTAAGACAAAGTTATATTGTGCACGTCTCAGCACTGGGTGACAAGTTTTTCATTCCAAAACCCCAGAACCAACTATGTTGCCTCAAAGCCTCAGAGAGCAGCCATAATATCCTGAAGTTAGCACGAGTCAGAGGCAGCTGCACATCTTACACCAGTTCTCTGTTTAGTTCACATTCTGTTAGCTACTCACATTTGCTGAAGAAGAAACATGTCACCCTGTGCAGTGGTGTGTTTCACTGATGTGTTTTTAATTGTTTTTGAATTACAATGAAGATCTATTGCAAAGAACAAGCTGGGCCAGGACAGACACAATGACAGACATGACCTGTGAGCAGAGGCAGCTCATTGTCGTTGTAAGGGGAGTGTTGAAAATACAGTTAATATAGGAAATGACTGGCTTTGTCCTATAATTCCATCAAACCTCCTCTGTGTAGCTGTAAGAAGGTGAGGGGCAGCCAAGAATCGTTCCTGTTAGCATCTGAAGTAGACGGGAGTTGCCAAATATTGTCTCAGTTCAAACTGCCAGAAATCCAGAAATCTTCCACACGATTCTGAAACAATCTCAGTTTTTCATTCCACTTTCTCCACGACCTCATGGTAAGTACTTTGAGCAGCAGGTCATCAGTTCAACACATGCATCTGACATTGGCTGCTGGCACCATCTTGCATTATTAACTTCTAGATCAGAAGCAATAGGCCTCCTCGCCAGGAGCAGCGGTGGCTGACTGGGAAATCCACAACTGCCAGAGTCATACACAAACATTAGTTCGTCTAATTAAGGACGGCAAAGAGAATGTAAAGTAATTAGTGACTAGGAGAGTCTGGGTGAAACCTACATGCAGCTTCAGGCTGATAAAGATGGGGAACATCTGAAGCTGTAACGTTTTAGAAGGCACGGTTCTTCCAGAGCAATAATTGCTCCAAATCTTTTGTCTTCCATAAATAAAATGCATGCTTTATGAATTAAACAACTTCCCATCCCCCACTTCTTTGTTTTGGCAATGAAATTTAAGACATAAAAATGAGCACTAACTACCCACAGTAAACAATCTGAGAGCAGAATCAGAGGATGCCTTGTTCGTGGGCGTTGTTTCCTGCCAATAACAAAAACAAACAGTGGTTCAATTCATTCCTGATGACCTGGAGGCTCTTGAGCAACTTCAGAGCTGATAATAACTCACCGGTGGTGTCAGATATTTAGAGAGCCTCCGCTGCTGCTGCTGCTGCTGCTGCCAACCCACATGCATGTGCAAGCAACAAATTTGGCTCTTTGGAAGGCTCCCAGAAAAATTAGCTGTTTCAGGTGTGTGCAGCCAAGAAATGAGGGTATGTGGGGGTTACTGGGTGTTGTCTGGGCGCTAACATGAGCAGCAGCGATGCGCGGCGTCGCCCTATTTTCTGTGATGTTATATTGTTTGGGGTTTAAAAAAAGAAACAGCCATTGCATAAGACCTTGGCGTCCCATTGCTTTAAAGTGCAACAGGCACAGACTTGAGAAATATGTAATTATCAGTGTCAGCTCTGTTAACTGCAAGTATTTTTATTTAAGTGTTTTCTGCCTAGTGTGAGTCTGATTAGTGCTCAGAGTGGGTGTAAAGCGTTTTGGGATTCCAGGATTTACAGATACAATTAAAAATCTGTGATGGGAATTGCACACCTGAACGGCCCTAACACACCCAGCTGCCAGCCAACACCCTTTTTCCACCATCCATTTTCACAATTACATTCCAACCTGTTTAATAAAAGAAGGTATGGCTCATATGAAACCAACCTGACTGCAGACACAAATATGCAAATGAAGTGCTGTAAGAAAAGTGATTGTTTTTCTGAATTAATTACAGGAACAGAGTTGATTCAATACATTTGTAAAACCTGAATGATAATTTGCTTTTATGGCTTAAATTCAGGCTTATTTGCATTTTTAGAAAAGAGTTAATGGCAAAATGCCCTTATAAAAAAGAAAAGCAGCTTTCTTACCTTATTCATACAAATGAATGCACACAGAACGTTATTTGTAATAATGGACAAATTAGATCTATTGAAACAGCAAAATATACAAATGACTTTAAAAACTGTTGTGACATTATACAAAATGTGCTTCTATTAAGAGGAGCTTTTCTTAATGTGGCTAAATGACAACACTCATTTTGTCTCTACTGTGTCATTTTAACAGCAACAAACTACTGTTGTTGACCATGGGAACCAAAGTTTGACAAGAAGATGTCGACACGCTGTGGAGCAATGTGAGCACTGTTTTGACAAGTGGTCCCTGTTTGTTTGTATCATGTGCTGTGTTAACAATGACTTCTCCAAATAGTTTCATAAATGTGTGTGCAGGCAATCAGAACAGTTGAACATGTCCTCCCAGTGTAAAAGCTACAGTGGGTTTGTTTTGCCATAGTGGTTTGAAGGAGAAAGTGACGTCATTGCACAATCTCTATGGTATGTTGTGGTCTTGCAATATAAATTGGACTTTTTTTGCAGCCACTCCCAGCTTTTGGTGATCTTTACTCCAGTAACCTGTGCCCTTGCCTGCACAATAACCCACAGCATGGTGATTTATACTGTGAAGTACTTTGGGGCACAGGTATCCTGAGCAGGTTAGATAAGCACAGAAAGGTGAGTAATGCATCTGTTTGCTGCCAAGGTGTTTTTGGTTAACACTCGTTAGACCCTAAACAAAAGAGGCTTGGTTGTACTGAGCAGAAACCTGTTATATTAAATATAACACAGTAGACACAATTTACTAATCTGCACTAATACACTGTACTATATAAATGATAAAAGATATTTAGCTGTGAGTTTTAATCAAACTGTGCCTGAGGAACGCCCCTGCCAATGTTTGTCCTTGCATGATTAGCTTTAAAAAGCTAATATTGACATGCTGTTTGCTTGCCCTGGTGCACTCATTCAGGTTCATTTGTAACACTGGCTTGCATGAAAATCCTACTCTTTCCTCAAAACACACAAGTAGCTGGACATAAGCAAGATGTCACATTAAAGCAAGAACTCATAGTAGAGATGACAATCTGTGTCAGCGCAGGATTTAATATGCATCATTATTTAATCAGACACAGCAGATTATCAAAACAGACTCCATACAGGTTTTCTGGAAAATAATAGACATAACAATGTGACACATCAAGTGATCAGTCTGCTCCTCTATCAGCTGTTGTCTGTTTTCATACTGAAACTCTAAACACATGCCAAACACAAAGACTCAGCGATACTCATTAAACTCAAACAGCCTTAAAAACTGTAACAGCGGGAACTTCTGTTCGTAAAAACATTCACAGCCTTGATAAAATCCAAAGCTTTAGTCAGATTCTGAGGTTTCAGTTTTGAGATAATGAACTTTTTCCTCTCACTCTCTGCAATTTGTGCAGTTGCAGGCACAAAAACAGCTGTTAATCTACAATAGCATCTCCCTGATGACGCTGCTTGGAAACAACTGGAAGCAAACATTCTAGTGAGGTATGGTGCATTTGGACTTCTTTTACTTTTTATTTAAATAAAAACATGGAAATGTTTATCTAAGAAAGCTTAATGTAACAGTCATGCAATTAAAGAAATCTTAAAGGCTAACTGTAAGTCACATATCTGTTTGTAGCTAACTCGAGCTAACAGCAAACCACCGCGGCACCAACTGAAGAATGATTGTGTTTTATTGTTCGTGGGTTTAAATGTCTGGTTTCGTTGTTCAGATGTTATAAGCTAATTTTAATCTATTATTAATTTTTCCAGTTTTTCAAAATGCTAATTTTTTTTTTTAGCTTTTTCAGGTTCCAGCTTCTCAAATGTGAGGATTTCCCAGTTCTGGTTTTTGACTGTGTGGAGTTTTTTTTTTTTTTACTAAATTATTAATTCATTAATTTAAATATAAAATATTTGGGAAATACTGCAGGTTTCTCAAAACCAGCTGTGGTTTGGAACGGGGACACAGCTCAGATGTGAATGTGCATCAGGTGCGTGAATATGAAGCATGGTGTTTTGGACACCGGCCTTGCATGGTGCCTCCTGCCTGCGTGGATGATGGCTAAATGATGGGAGAGGAGAGGAACGACAGGTTAAAGATGGGGTGCAGCTTCAGAGTCAGACCGGGGTCTATCTTTGAACATCAGTTCAGTAAATCCACCAGGACTGAAACATAATACTTGTGGGGGTTAAGGTGGGATGGACTGTCACTAACACCCCTTCCTCAAAGATTCTTTTTGTCTTATGCCGTTTGTGGTGGACAGAGCAGAGCTAACAGGCTTCTCCTAGTGCTTAGCCAAGCAGTTGTGAAAACACATGGACCCTGGCGCCAGGGATCTTTTTTGACCAAAACCAAGAAGCTCTGGCTGAGACCGAAGAGCTTGGAGGGGGCAGCGGGGATGCAAGAGTGAAGATGAGGGGATAGAAACTGAGGAAGAAGATTGTCCAAGGCTGTAATCAGGTTTCTGAGGCAAGGCTCCGTGTCTTTATGGGGGAGTTCTGGAGTCAAGTAATACTCGGTCTGTCTGGAGTGTGGAACTCCTGTCAAAACAAACTATCATGAGAACGCCAGGCCTGGCTATTGGGGAGGGCACAGGGGAGGGAAAATGCAATATATGAGACCAGCAGAGGTGGATTACATGAAATAACATCTCACTGAAGATGGACTTCAAAACGGTCCATTTAAACCAGATTAAGACCCAAACATTTAAAATGGCTTATTCTACATGTTAAACAAAGAACATAGGACATGCACATCACAAAAAAATGTACAGGTGCTGATCCAACAACAGCTTAAAGGCAAAAAGTTCATGAAGATGATCAATATCTCATCATGTCCGATGAAGATCTTGAATAGATCGAAACGTTGCTGCTACTGAATTAAATGACTGGGAGCTTAACACAGTGTGCAAACGTTTTTCATGCACAGTTATGGTTCAGTTCTTTTTTGATGCAGCTCCATATTATTCACGTGCCAAACAAAAAACATTTCAAAACATTCTTTATTTTTTAAATAGCACCTCAGATGATTGCACAGCCTTGGTGGGGGCTTGTGTTGTTTCACAAGTGTGTTACTATGACGGAGATTTTCAGCCATGTGCACGCTGTTTCTATGGAATTTAAGCTCTCAGAATAAAATCAGCCAAACTAAGTGAGAGAAGCAGAAGAGGCTTTATATCAGAATTTGTTCTGTATCTAAAGCACTTTGCAGCTAGTGCCGCTCATGCTGGAGTGCTCTCAAAGCTCTTTCTATTACTGTGGGTTATTTGTGGTCTTCTATTTTGGATGCGACCTATTTAAGAGTGATGTGTGTGTTTATGCAGTCCTTTGCCCCCACAGAAACACTCAGGTTACTATGCTGCAGTAATTACGCTCCCTGCTTTTAGCTGTCATAACACAAAATGTTTGGGCTCGGAGAAAACAGGCGAGGTTGTCACACTGAGCGAAACCGCTAACCAGACATAGTAACCCGTGTTTAACAGCAGTGGTGGGCTGGGCTGCAATATACCACTGTCTGCAGAGGGAGGGAGCATGAAAGTGGGCGACTGTCCACTCATGCCAGACAATAAAAGGAGGGGAAGACTAACTGACTTTGAACTGGGTCTCAAAGAACGCTTTTGAATGTTGTTTATCACGTTTTAGATTTTGAGTGGTAGACAAGCAGACAAAGGCAGGGACACACAAAGGCAGTCAGACTGAAGCAGATACCCAGGCTGAAGGAGGAAAAGGAGCAAACCGAGGTCTAGATCAGTGTCAGCTCTCTCCAGCTGGATCCAGCCAGGTCCAATGAGGTGCTACTGCTGGGCAGACCGGGCTGTTTGAACATGATGGATGATCCTTGGAATGTGTTGGTTGCGACCCAGCTTTGTATCTGTGATGATGTAATGCCTGTGCACAAGAACATTTTAAAATAAGGAGTTTTTTAATCTAGGTTGTATTGAAAAACCAGTTTCTGCACTGTGGAAAAAAAACAGGTGCCATTCCAAGCATCTTTGAACATCAGATAAATGGCACCACTGATAAGTTCTTTGTAATACCAATATTGACCAGTGAGTGTGTTTTTGTGGAGTGTTTTTAAAGGTGTTTGTTGACAGATTTAGTTTTAACCTTTGGACAGAGCCGTTTCCAGTATTTTAATGCTAAGCTAACTGGCTGCTGGTATCACTCTTCTTATCTAATGCTCCAGAAAGGTGCACTCTCACATTTTATTTTATTAATTCAGTTCTGTCAGGCAGATTTGAATCAGTTTAATGCACAAAAGGAGACAAAAGTACTTTACATGCAAAGGTGAAAGTGCTGTGGTTAAATTAAGGTTTACTCACTTTGTGCTTGTGATGACAAAGTTACACGGTTACGTTGCTTTTTGTGTGCCTCTTTAAACAACATTGTTTTGCACTGAACACTATATTGTCTTTTTATTTTCTTTTTAGGGGTACTACACAGTAAAGCCCAACAACCGTCCTTCAGTTTCCACAGTAACAACCACGTGCCATCTGCAAGCGCCACCCACAACACAACATAAACATCCTTACATTATTCTGTATGGGTTTCCAGTTGAGGTTACCCGCCATAGGTTATCACACCATTACCCTCAGTACAGCTGAGCGTCTGAGAAGTGAATTTTTA